TCGAAAAAATATGTTTTTGTAAGGTTTTGAGCTAAATGTGGAAAAATGTTGCCGTTAATTTCAGCATGTTTCACTTTACAAACGGCGCCCCATAATAATGGGTTTTCTATAAGTCTCTGGGTCAGAGAGTCCAGACAAGATATTCTGAACCAGAAGTTAGAATAAGTAGAAGAGCAATGGATAATAACATAAGATTATCAAGGCAGGGCAGGGAAGTGTCTTTTTCATTCTGTCTCTTACAGCGGATGGAGCAGATACCAGACAAGGTCACAGATGTACGAGGAGCGAGAATGCCACATTCTTGTGGGAGCAAGATAGTCAGGATAATCTTCGTTTTTGTAAAGCCCATTTCAAGGTTATTGTTTTGGTGAACCAGACTCTTGATTTCACACAAAGCTCCACAGTGCTGTGTAAACTTGTAATTTCAACTGCCAATGCAAATTAAATCTTATTAAATGACAGAACATTCTCCTGAAATTCCTTCTGAAAAGTTTGAACACGACAGAACTTGCAGTTCGTCATAATTTAAATGAACATCTGTCAACATTATGAGATTCTAAAATTGAAAATCTGCAGTTTGTATTTTCCCCCATCGCAGAGCCACGTGAGCTTTGACACGCTCCTCGTGCAGAGTCATTTAGAGCCGCTGCTGTGTAAAAATAGAAGCGAATGTTACTGTGATGAGAAAACAGCTCTTCCAGTGGCAAAATTGGTAACAGTTACTCTGGCTAAATGCTGTTGTGTTTGTGCTCTCTTCTCTACTGAGGTTTTATTTGACCAGTCTGACCTATGACTCCTTTGACTGGAGAGAGGTACTTGATTATCTGGAACCTTTCTGTAGTGCTGTAGGAATCACGTGACTACGGTGTCCCAACAGAATACAGTCCAGTCTAATCAGCATATTGAGCGCCTGTGCCTCATCACGAGGACAGCACATGATGATCAAAACTGGAGAAAAGACACGCTGACAGACAGACTACTGACTAATAAACAGCAGGCTGTTTTTTATCAGCTTAGCAATGCAAGTCACCGTGTGACTTTTACCCAAACGTCCTTTCCATCAACAGAAGAGCCAATGCTGCAAATGTGTATTTATAATAAAACATGTATTTATATAAAAACGTATTTTTGCATTTGTAACTGTTAATAAATGAATCTTAAAAGTAAAGAACTGTATTATCAAGAGTCAAAAAGCACCACCTCCATTCCTGTTGGTCATCATGTCTCTGTGTTCAATGTTCTCCTCCTCAGGCTCTGGGTCTGCCCATCACTGATGCTCAGATTGCAGAGATGGAGAGCCATGCAGAGGACATTGAAATGCAGAGGAATACGCCGACCTCCCCACGCTCGGCTTTACACACTTCCAGTGAGTCCGACTGCAGCTGCAGTGTTTTCATAGGCCTTCATCAGTGATGGAGCTGTTTAACCCCTCTCCTCCTCTCTGTACAGGCCTGCCCAGTTGACCACAGTGGGGAAGCAAGCGTGTCTGTGGCTGCAGGATTTGGTGATTGGATGTGAGGAACCTGGAGCGAGCCCGCGATGATCTTCGTTTCCGTGGAGTCAAGGGGACCACAGGCACCCAGGCCAGCTTCCTGCAGCTCTTTCAGGGGGACCATGACAAGGTATAAACAACCATAAGAACCACGTGGGTGATTTCTGAAGTCCCACAGCACCGTATTGTGATGACTTA